GGGAACGACAAGCACACAACACTCTGAGTTGCTCGCAACAGGCATACAAACATGGCAAGCCCTACCGCGGCCTAGCCGCGCAAACCTCTAATGGCAGAGCCGGAGCCCGCGTCTACAGGCGGTGAGCTCCGAGGGCGTGAAGAATGCCCGTCAGGGAGCGCCACAGCTCCCGGACCACAAGCGTGCTTGCGCCGATCGCCGCGGCTCCAGATCCAGCGCGCAAGTGCCGCCTCAGGCCCCGGACAGCGTCGTCAAGCTGTCCCGCAGCAGCAGCGCCTCCCTCCGCGGGCGCAGCCAACACGGGTGCCAGCAGCACCGCGAGCTGGTCCGCCGCGTCCAGACAAGTGTCACGCTGGCGGCCACGGAAGGACTCAGGAGGGACCACGGGGAGAGACGAATGTGCAACCACCTGAATCAGCAGCAGCGCATGAAGACTCTCAGCAAGGCGATGGAGTTGGCCGAGCGTCGCCTCCGGAACGCGAGTCTGCGGAGGCTGAAGAGCCTCCGCCAGGAACAGGAGCGGCTGATCCTCATCAGCCTGATGTGAACGCGGCGCCGCAGACGCGCCGCCATTTGCGGCCACAAATTCCACCCCCGCAACAGGCGGAACTGGCGGCAAGCGAAGACACGCGCCGGGGTTTGGCACCGACGCAGCGGGAGCAAGGGCCGTTGGGATGTGCACCTGCGGAGGGGGTGCGGCAACAGGCGGCGGGCTCAAGGGGAGTGCAGGCTGTCGCGGAGCCTCAAGGACCGGCGAGGCGCGCATCGAGCTGCTCTGGCTCTGCGACGCCTTCTCCTCGCGCACTGCCCTCGACACCTCCCGCTGAAGATCTGCCATCGTCACCGGCGGGCGGTACCCCCCGCCACCACCGCGCCCGCGGTAACCCCTCCGATCCCCCTGACCACCGGGGTAAGCAGCCCAGTGAGGCTGTTGCTGATAACGCCGGGGAGAATCACGACGGCGACGAGACGACCTGCGAGCCTGGCGAGGCACGGGGGAATGAGGACGTGACGGGCGGCGGTCAGGTGACTGGGGACGTGACGGCTGACCTGCCGGGGCCATCGGAGCCACAGCAGGCACGAACGGACCCGCCGTCGAGGGTGCAACCAAAGGAGCCGGGCCGCCAGTGGTGGCGGACACCGCCAGCAGCGACCGTGCAACGGCGGAGATCGCCGCAGGGAGGACAACAGCGGCAGGTAGCGCTGCAGGAACGCCGGGGGCAGACTGCGCAACGACGGGAGCAGACATTGCGGGTAGCGCAGACGGTTCAGGATTGGGACCAGGGGCAGGAACAGACAGCTCTACAGCGGCGGCAAGGGGTGCAGGATGAGCAGCCGGACCGGACGGAACAGCAACAGGGGCAGACGGGCCGGACTCGGGAGCGGCAAGGGGAGCTGCGGGTGCGAGGGGAAGAATCGTTTCAGAGACTGCTGACACGGGCTTTGGAGCCTGCGGTAGAGGGGGCTTTGTCGCCGTGGTCACCTTTTCGGGGCCCGAATGGGGCGTGGCGACCACAGCCGACCAGGCGGCAGCGCGCTCTGGCGATGGCCCGTCAGCTCCGGCAATCACCATCGCTCGTACAAGGAGGCCCAGGGGCTAGGAGGCAGGCGGCTAGTGGTACAGGTGGAGGCCCGGAGAATGGGTACCAGGCAGCAGCAAGAAGGGCTTTAACAACTCTGGAAGAAGCTAACGAGGAGGAAGAATTACGGGACCCTACTTATAGGGAGGAAGCTCTACCTGAGAGCGAGGAAGGAGAGTCGGAGGGGGAAGACGGGACGAGAGAGACGGCGAGGAGAAGGACAGTGGATGTTGGGAGCCCAGCCTTGCAACACCCACACGCTGATCCGGGACCGTCCGATGCTGATCGAACGGGGGTTATTCCAACTTCAGCTCCACCAGCAAGGACGAGCCATGCTCGGCGAAATCGAACCGCCAATTCCGAGGTCGCGACGCGCCAGACCACACCCATCCCCCGCTATTTTTCGTCAGACGAGCTGGCGAAGCGGGAAGATTTGTTCACTGCCATTGAAAACTGGGACATCGCAGCTCTTAGCGACAGTCGACAGCCTTCGCTGACACGGCGCCTATCGCCAAATCTATGTCAGCTGTTTTCGCTGGCGTTACTCACACCGCTGCTCCACCTTTCGCGAAACCCAGAGTCCGAAACGGGATGGCGCCTGCTCCTGTTTCTCCCGCGCCTAACACTTCGCCAGACTTTGCCACAGCGGCCAAACTGGCCGGAGGTCAAAGCCCGGCTCCGGGCCTTCCAGCATGGCGAATGGGAGCAGCTGTATCTAGACGCAGTAGAGGCGGTCAACACACCTCCACCGCCACGTCACCAGCCCGACCCAACTGGGGTCATAAGCCGAGCCGAAGGCCTGGCAAAACGTGGCAGTCTGCGCCGAGCGGTGCTGGCGCTCGAGTCCACGCCTGTCTGCACACCGAGCCCAGAAATCCTGGACGACCTCCGCCAAAAACACCCACCTGCTTCACACGCGGGGTTGACTTGGCCAACGACAGGGGGGTCAACGTTGTCCATCAATCACGCCGACTTTGCCAAACTTTTGGGAAGGTGTGACAACGGAGTGGGGGCCGGCCCGTCAGGCACGACCTTTGAACATCTGCGCGACGCGGCAGTTACAAATGCAGCGATCTGCACCCATCTCCACGCCCTGGTAAACACAATTCTGGGGGGAAATTTACCAGGCTCAGTGGAAAACCTGTTAACAGCATCACGTCTCATTGCCCTGGCCAAACCTGGAGGTGGCGCGCGGCCAATCGCGATAGGAGAATGTCTGACTAGGCTGGCAGCCAAAGCAGCCCTTGCAGCCATAGGGGAAGCTGCCCGCGAACATTTTTTACCCCTTCAATACGGAGTGGCAGTGCCAGGAGGAGCAGAGGCGGTAATCCACGCAGCCAGGGCGTTTTTTTATGCCCGTCCCGACAGCCTGGTACTGCAAGCGGACATATCGAACGCCTTCAACAGTATCTCCCGCCAAGCCATCGCAGCAGCATTACAAGAGCCCGGCCTACGGCCACTGCTGCCGATAGTTCGCCTGACCTACGGTAACCCGTCGTTGCTAAATCTCGACGCCAATTTCAGCAGCGAACCACTGAAGAGCGAACGCGGCGTTCGCCAGGGCGACCCACTAGGCCCGTTACTATTTGCAGCAGGGATACACCCCATACTCCGCAAAACGGCCAAGTCATTTCCAGACGTTCTCTGCCTGGCGTATGCCGATGACGTCACCTTTCTGTGGGAGACACAACGAACTGTAGCGGCCTTCACGTTCTTTACCGACAAGTTGGCCCACATCGGCCTGGCACATAACCCAAATAAGTGTGCAGCCTGGAGTGCGTCAACGGTCGAGCCAGCGCAGCTTCCACACGGAGTGCCGTATTCGAGGGAAGGCGTACGGCTTCTTGGAAGCTATCTAGGGCCGGATTCAGGAGCAGCCAAATTCCTGTCAAGCCAGCTAGAAGAAATGGCAAAGCCATTACACCTCCTTGAACGAGCCGACCCTCAGGTAGCTGCCCTGCTACTCACCCGTTGCATCTCCAGGCGGGTGGCTTATCTCACCCGTACGACACCTCTCCACCTACTCCCTCGCGATATTTGGAGCCAGTGGGGACGGGACCTACTCATCGCACTCCTAGTATCATGCGATATCCGCGTCCCCACGTGCGAAACCGAGCAGGCCCGAGTATGGGCACAGGCGTCACTGCCACCATCACTAGGAGGCATCGGCCTCACAGACCCGTTAGTCGAAGGTGTATATGGGTACACGGCGAGTTTCACCCAGGCGGCGCTTTTTCTCTCCACCCTCGCGCTAGAACCATTTGGTGCCCTGATCCGAGCTAGGAATCACATGCTCTCACCACGGGATGTCACCACACCACTGCACACATGGCTTACCGAATGCGAAGCCGCATTGCCAAAGGACGCGCGTGAAATTTTAGAACAGGAGCGACTGAAGCGGTCGGACACTCGACTCCAACACGTACTCGGTTTGAAGGTGCACGGCAGCAGATACGCCGTGCAGGTGCAGGCCACGAGGCGCATGAAACCGAACCCACTTTCAGGCCACACGCAGCGTTTGTTCTCACTGACGGGGTACGGCACCGGCGACTGGCTAACCGCGATTCCGATTGCCCCAAACCGACGAATAGGCCCGGTACATTTCGCCAACTCCGTTCGCTTTCGGCTCGGGCTCTCTTTCTCAACGCCAAAGAAATGCGACTGCTCTGACCACACACCTATCACCGACCCCCGCCTCCCAAATCACCTCTTTCGCTGCGGCACGGGTAGGCACCGCATCAATACCCACAACGAACTGCGTGACGCATGCGTCAGCATGGCGCAGGACGCGGGGTTTATCGTTCACAGGGAATCAGCCGCCCACTGTCTCATTGAAGAGCAGACCGCTGACTTCACCATGACAGACCGTAGCAGCGGGGCAGTCTACGTCTGTGATGTGACCATCACGGACCCTATCAGCATAAGGGACCCTGAAGCACAGAAAGGCAGGGGGTGGGCGGCAAGGGAGCAAGCCGACAAAAAGATACAGCACTACGCTAACCGCCCAGATACGGTTAGCTTCTTCCCGCTGGCTGTGGAAACCTACGGCTGCCCTTGTGCCGAGGTACCTGTTTTTCTGAAGCTCTTGGCAGACACGGCGGCTCGGCGCCACTCCAACGCCGACTCAAAATCCTTTCATGCCGCGAAGTTTCTGCACCAGTTCAGACAGAGATGGTCGGTGGCCCTTCAGAGGGCACAGTCTGTAGGCCTCTTACTCAAGCTCGGGGAGGCGGCGGCGGCAGAGAACCCGCCGGTAGGCGGAATTGGGCAGGAACTGAACCTGGGGGATTGTTTTGTGGTGGTCGAGCCCCTCCTGGAGCTCTAGAGGAGGTTGTGGGTAGGATCCGGTGCGTTGGTTGTTTCCTAGGCCTCTATAAACCTGCATGCTTGTACTTTGCGGCTAAATCAATACAAGGACCATTAGAGAGAGAGAGAGAGAGAGAGAGAGAGAGAGAGAGAGAGAGAGAGAGAGAGAGAGAGAGAGAGAGAGAGAGTTTCTAGACTCTCATGCAGGCATAACTAGGGTAGACAATGGCCTAGTCTCTACTCATGCCATGTTTGTACCTTTCTGATCCTATCAATGAAGGACTGCTTGAGAGAGAGAGAGAGAGAGAGAGAGAGAGAGAGAGAGGCCTAGTCCTTAGCCCCCCCAACCCTCTTCAGCCTAGTATAAAGGCCTTAGGACCTGGCCCTCGAGCCTCATTATTCAGTTCAGTGCTCATTTGCTCTCATAACCGAGCGGGAGAGAGAGTAGAGAGAGAGAGAGAGAGGCCTAGTCCTTAGCCCCCCCAACCCTCTTCAGCCTAGTATAAAGGCCTTAGGACCTGGCCCTCAAGCCTCATTATTCAGTTCAGTGCTCATTTGCTCTCATAACCGAGCGGCTCGCGCCGGCCGCCGAAGGCGGCCGACGCTCGACAGCGCGGCCTGCGGCCGCGCGCCTAGGACGACAAGGCAACAACAAGCAACTATACGGACCACTGCATACATCCATGGCAAGCCACACAAGTTCCTAGGCAAGACAAAGCAATGGAGCCCGAGGAGGCAGCAACTACATGCGATCCGCCTCAAGGGGACCAAGAATCCCTGTCAGGGACCTCCACAACTCCCGTACTACCAACGAGCTTGCGCCGATCGCGTCGGCTGCAGACCCTGCGCGCAAACAACGCCGCAGACCACGAACGGCAGCGTCAAGCTGGCCCACAGCCCCAACGGCTCCCCGCGCGGGCGCAGCCAACACGGGCACCAGGAGGAGGGAAAGCTGCTCCGCCGCGTCAAGGCAATCCTCCCGTTGTTCGTCAAGGAGAATACCTAGGGGAGCCCGCGTCAGAGACGCGTGCGCCTGCACCTAAATCAGCAGGAGCGCACGCAGGCTCTCAGAGAGCCACCACACCTGGCCAAACGTCGCCTCCGGCACGCGCACCCGCGGGGGAGGAGCCTCTAGGGCATGAAAAGGAAAGTGAGCAGCGACGACAGGTGGAGCAGCATCAGACGGGTGAGCCGTCACCACTCCTACCGCCGCGGACACAGCCTCCAGGCCCGCCACAGGAGGCACCCGCGGCAGCCGAAGGTGCGCCCTAGGTACGGAGGTTGACGCAGCAGGAGCAGGAGGAGGAGGAGCCACAGCAGGAAGTGCGGCCACAGGAGGTGCCGGAGGGGGAGCCACAGGCGCCGGCGCGACATGCCGCGAGCTACCCCGGCTGGCCTGCTCAGCCCTCTCCTCGCGCATTGCAGCCGAAACGACCCGCTGCACATCCGCAAGCGTCAGCGGTGGCTCATACGCCCCGCCACCACGACCGCGACCACCCCTCCAGCCACCGCGACCTCCACGGTGGGCAGGCCAGTCCGCCTGCGATTGGCGACGCCGAGGAGAATCACGACGGTGTCGCGACGACTCCCGCTCATCTCGCGGCAATGGTGAGTGAGGACGAGAGGGACGGCGATGTGGAGACGGATGACGCTGAGCCGGCCGGGCAGCAGGGGATGACGCAGGAGCCGACGGCAAAACGGCATCCCCCGCCTGGTACAGGACGGTGCTGGTGGCTGGAGGCGGCTGGTAAGACGGGTCAGCAGCAGCAGCAGAAGGCGCCCCGGCGGGCGCAGCCTGTGGCGGCACGGAGGCCGCCACAGCAGCCGCATACGAAGCCGCAGCAGCGGGCGCAGGAGGTTGCGCCAGAGCAGGTGCCGCGGCAGGCGCAGGAGCAGACGCGGCTGCCGGCACCAGTGCAGTCGCCGCAGCAGGCGCAGGAGCAGACGCCACACCGCGTGCTCCCAGGTGCGCCACTTCAGGAGCAGGGGCTATCACCACAGCAGGCGCGGACGACGACGCCACGGCAGGGGGTGGCGCCACAAGAGGTGCAGGGGCCAGGTCAGCAGGAGGCACAGGCGACGGCGCAGACACAGGATCGGGAGGGGGCGACATCCCCGCAGGCGCCGGAGCTGGTGCCGATACAGCGGGAGGGGCAACGACGGCTGACGCCAAGGGCCTTGGCGAATACACGAGATCGTCCCCAAGCGCGACAGGCATCTCGGCGAGGACGAGGCGCGGGGCAGCAGAACACGGGTGGACAAAACGGCGGACCGGAGAACGGGTTCCAACGAGCAGCGCGAAGGGCTTTAACTCGAGAAGCAACAAATGAAGAGGAAGAAGCACGGGACGCTACTTATATTCCCACAAAGGTAGCTGAGTCCTCAGAGGAAGACGCAGTCGAGGAGGAATTGTGCCTGCCTGAGGAGAGAATCGCATCACCAAGCCAAACCGCATCGCGAAATTTGGCCGGCCCCCGAAACCGAACCGCATCTGCAAACATTTCCCCCTCCCGAGCCGCGCCAAATCTTGCACCAACTGGTCGGGCCGCCCCTCCTGGCCGAACCCAACCCACCACCACCCAGCCAACTCTCCCACCACCGCTGGAGGAAAAATCGCCAGAGGCACTGGCTGCTGATAACACGCTTTTCGCTGCCGTGGAAACTTGGGACTTGACGAAACTCTGCGACACTCACAACGCACCTCTGCCACGCCACCTCCCACAGGACATCCGCCCAATTTTCGCGACAGCGCTGCTAGCCCCTCTGCTCCGACTGGCTGACAACCCAGAATCACTGACAGCATGGACAGTTTTCTTGTTCCTCGCACGACTGACGCTGAGACAACACACTCCTCAAAAACCGGATTGGCCGGCAGTCAGAGCAAGATTGCGACAGTTCTTGGCGGGGGAGTGGAGTACACTGTACTCTGACATGCTCGACTCTCTGACCTACCCTCAAGCGCCCAGGCATGCCCCTAACGACCTAGGAGTGATTGCAAGGGCAGAGGGCCTTGCGCGACGTGGCAGCCTAAGGAGAGCGGTTCTTGCCCTGGAGGCGACGCCGGTGTGCACCCCGTCATCAGCAATCCTGGAAGCACTGCGCGCCAAGCACCCACCTGCTCCTGAAGCACCCCTCGTTTGGCCGGTACCTGACTCCAACGCTCACTTGTCGGCCACCCTGCCCGAGTTTCTCAGAGTTCTGTCACGCTGTGACAATGGGATTGGGGCGGGCCCATCAGGTCTGACATTCGAGCATGTGCGGGAGGCGTGCCTAGTCAACCAGTCAGTGGCGACAAACATCCACGCAATGGTCAACACCATTCTGACAGGGAAACTGCCATCCCCAGTCGCCAGGCTCCTCACGGCGTCTCGCCTACTGGCTCTCTCCAAACCAGACGGAGGGACAAGGCCGATCGCTATTGGTGAAAGCATCACCAGACTCGCCGCCAAAACAGCTCTGATGTTGACAGCAGGCGCAGCAAGAAAATTCTTCATGCCACACCAGTTCGGCGTGGCAGTGCCTGGGGGAGCGGAGGCGGTTATCCACATCACCCGCGCCTACCTGTCTGAAAATCCTTTTGCACTAGTCCTCCAGGCAGACCTAGCCAACGCCTTCAACAGTGTCAACAGAGCCGCAATAGCATCCGCACTAGACAACTCGGCTCTAGCACCACTACTACCATTAGTACAACTCACCTACGGGGCCCCATCACCGCTCTACCTGGACGAGGGCTTCAAGCATGAGCCCCTGCTAAGCATGACGGGAGTTCGGCAGGGAGACCCTCTTGGGCCACTGCTGTTTGCAGCTGCAATCAATCCCGCGCTACAAGCTACAGCCCAAGCCTTCCCTACTGTAGCCTGCCTAGCGTACGCAGACGACGTCACCTTCCTAGGGGAGCAATCTACCTGCGTAGCAGCGTTTCAGCACTTCACAGAGAGCCTCATGCCAATTGGCCTGCATCATAACCCATCTAAGTGCGCGGCCTGGTCACAGTCAGGCATCCCCACCTCTGCCTTACCCCCGGGTGTCCCGTTCACTAGAAACGGCGTGAAGCTGCTAGGCAGTTTCATAGGCTCCGATGAGGCCACAGCAGACTTCATTCGTTCAAACCTTAGCTCCATGGCGGCACCTCTTGGCCTGATAGCACGGATGGAACCTCAGCTGGCTGCCCTGCTACTCTCCAGGTGTATCTCAAGACGAGTTTCTTACCTCACCCGGACCACACCCCTCATGCATTTGCCTCTGAATGAGTGGTCCGGTTGGGGCAGGCAGTTGTTTGAGACTCTGTTAACGGCATGTGGCATTAGGCATCCGCGGGGTGATGCTGAGATCTCTCGTACATGGTCCCAAGCTTCGCTGCCAGTATCACTTGGGGGCCTCGGAATCACTGACCCCGCGGTCGAGGGCAGCTACAGCTACCTAGCTAGCTTTACCCAGGCACAGCAGCTGCTCTCAACCCTTGAAGATAACCAGTTAGGGCCCCTGACGGGGACACGGGTGCAGATGATGGGACCATACACAGACTCCTGCGCTCTCTACCGCTGGCTAGCTCAGTGCGAGGCAGACCTACCGAGTGATGCCGGGGAGCTACTACAGAGTGACAGGGCTGCTCCCACGGGTGTGAAGCTGCAGCAGGGGCTAGCTTTGGCAGTCCAGGGAAGAAGATATGCTAACCAGGTGGAGAGCACACGGGGCATGACCCCAAACCCCAATAGCGGCCACACGTAGCGCCTTCTCTCTTTGTCAGGGTACGGAGCCGGGGACTGGCTCCATGCAGTCCCGCTCATGCCCTCCCTGAGGCTCGACGGTCCCCACTTTGCCACAGCCCTCCAGTTCAGGCTAGGACTACCATTTTCAGCCCCTGACACTTGTGACTGCACCAAGCAGGTTCCCATCCCAGACAAACGGCTTCCAAACCATCTGCTACGCTGCGCCACAGGAGGGGGAAGGACAAATTCTCACAACGAGCTGAGGGATGAGTGCATTAGGATGGCACAGTACGCCGGGTTCATGGTGCACAAGGAAACGGCGGAGTTCTGCCCGGTCACTAGGAAGATAGCAGACCTAGCCATTCGTGATCGGTCCTCAGGGGCAGTATGGATCGGGGACGTCACCATCACTGACCCCATCAGCACGCGCGACCCCAATGCGGTGAAAGGGAGGGGGTGGGCTGCCAGGGAAGCCGCCGAAAAAAAAATCTCAGACTACAGCGGCTCCCCGACAGCCTACGTCTCATTTGTACCCCTCGCAGTCGAGACCTATGGCTGCCCATGCGCAGAGGTCCCCGCTTTCCTCAAGCTCTTGGCTCACACGGCAGCACGCAAGCTCTTCAACGCCGACCCTTCAACCTACCAGGCGGCAAAACTACTCAACCAGTTCCGCCAGAGATGGTCGGTCGCCCTTCAGCGCGCGCAGGCCGTAAGCTACATGGCCAAGTGCAACATGGCAGCAGAGGCCCAGAACCCTCTTGTCGGGGCCCCTGGCGAGGAAATGTCCCTGGGGGACTGTTTTGTGGTACTCGAACCTACTGCTGAGCTCCCTTAGGAGCTTCCAGTGGAGGGGGGGGGGGGGGGGGGGGGGGGGTGGTGGTTGGTGGGTGGGGCTGTAGGTGGTTCTTAGGATCTGGTTTGCCGCTAGGCTGTTCTTTTAGTCTCTGGTGTTGCCTGTTTCTATGCTGCCTTGATCGTTTGTACTCACCCGTTATATCAATACAAGGACCGCTTGAGAGAGAGAGAGAGAGAGGATTAGCCTCACCCCTTCTTCCCTTGCACTCACCCTTCTGCCCTTTGCCATGAGTACTTAAAGGCTCCCGTGGCCTCTTAATCCTCATTATTCAGTTCATTCTGACAATTTTGATTGCTCGTTCGAGAGAGCGAGAGAGAGAGAGAGAGGATTAGCCTCACCCCTTCTTCCCTTGCACTCACCCTTCTGCCCTCTGCCATGAGTACTTAAAGGCTCCCGTGGCCTCTTCATCCCCAGTATTCAATTTATTCTGACAATTTCGGTTGCTCGTTCAAGAGAGCGCGAGAGAGAGAGGATAAGCCTCACCCCTTCTGCCCTTGCACTTACCCTTCTTCCCTCTGCCATTAGCATCACACGCACTTACATCACGGTGAATACAGGAGCTTTGGTCTTGCAGGCTGATATGGCGGATGCATTTAAGAGCGTTAACCGCAACGCCATCATCACATCCCTTCGGGACTCCTGTTTCACACCCTTGTTTCACTTTTACCGTTAGTTAAACTCCTGTACGGCCTTCCCACGGCTCTATGTCTAGACGTTGGCTTCTCACACCCCCCTCTGTTGAGCGAGACCGGGGTGCGGCAGGGAGATCCCCTTGGCCCGTTGCTTTTCGCTGCCGCCATACACCCAGCGCTGACAAAAACGGCGCTCAGCTTCTCCTCCGTGGTCTGCCTTGCTTATGCGGACGACGTCACTTTTCTTGGTGATGCAGCCACGTGTGCGGCGGCGTTTGAGGACTTCACAGGAAACCTCGGGGAGATCGGGCTGCGCCACAACCCAGCCAAGTGCGCGGCCTGGTCTCAGGCAGGCCGGCAGGGAGCAACGCTACCGGTGGGCGTACCTTTCACTGAAGATGGGGTGAAGGTGCTTGGCAGCTCATCGGTGGCAGCGACGCATCCGCCGCATTCCTACGTGCCAGCCTCGACACCATGGGCAGGCCGCTGCCCTTAATCGCGCGGATGGAGCCACAGCTGGCTTCCCTCTTGCTCTCACAGTGCATCTCACGGCAGATCGCTTACGTCGCCCGCACCACGCCGCTTTCAGCCCTGCCGGTCGAGGAGTGGTCAGACTGGGGTAAAAGGTTGTTTGAGACGTTGCTCACTGCCTGCAGCATTCGCCACCATGGGGGGAGGCTGAGATTTCACGTACCTGAGCGCAAGCGTCACTGCCCATCTCGCTCGGCGGTTTGGGTCTCACAGACCCTTCAGTGGAGGGACGTGTTGGGTTCCTCGCAAGCTACACGCAAGCCCAACACCTGCTCACCTCTATTGATGAGTCGGCTGTCGGCGCCTTCGCGGAAACGCGAATCCAGATGGTGGGGCCCTTCATCAACTCGTCCCCGCTCTCTGACTGGTTGGAGAGGTGTGAGGAGTCACTGCTGGACGATGGGAAGGAGCTGCTGCAGAGCGACCGAGTTGATCCCAAGGGCGTCAAGCTGCAGCACAGGCTGGCAATTGCAGTCCACAGACTGCGCTA